TGTGTTTCTCCAGCACAGCAGGATTAGATCAGGGAGGTGACGGCACAGACAGAGAAGAGATATCCAAAAATCATCAGTACAAACAACTAAAGGATTAGTTGCACTAGATGTCCCTGAGACTACTTAATCTTACTGACTGATGTTGCTTTGAGTGGCACAGCACACCAGCCACAGTCAGTCTGACCTTTTCTTGCAGATTTTCATGCAAAAAGCTCTTTGTAACACTTCCCACTGCAATTCTCACTAAGAGTTCAGGTTCAAGGTACCCACCAGAAGGTTGACAGACTCTATGACATCCAGGAACACCTCGTTTTTCCTGTATTTTATCCCTTCTGATCTCCATGAGACAGCGTTTGTAACAGTGGCAGGCGGGCGTGGGGCTCCAGTTTCAAGTTTGTGACCTTCCTGAGTGATGTACCTTCACCAGCCACGGGATTGGCATGAAAAAAAAATGAAAATTAATCTTTTTTGATACTTAGAACAAGCCAAACATCTGTTTGCCCACAGAAGAATGCTCAAAACTCTCCCAAGAGCTTTGCCATTGCGATGCAGAAGGATACTTACTCTTGTAAAATTTTACTATCAGTGGTTTGTGGATACCCAAAATCCATAAGCTCATCTAACAACTCATAAATAATAACAAAATTATCCCTAATGCTCTCTTCTTCCAACTCCTTGAAATATTCAGAAAAAACCTGAAACAAAACGACAGGAGGGAGGGGGAGAAGAAGGACATGAACTGAGAGCAAGCACAGCACACGCAGGGTGAATTCCTGCCCCCGAAAACAACCACTTGAGAAAGCTCCAAACCAAAGCCCAGACTCCACAAACACCTCAATTAAAACACAGAGAGAAACAACCCCTAGAGAGGCAACTCCTGGGATGAAAAATATTCGTTCTGGAGAAAATATTTTTCACGCCAGGTAGAGACACGAACCCAAGGCAAGGCTCTACTGTGATGCACCACTACTCATGCACCAATTCACAACTCTCCTCTAGGTGCTCAGATCCTGTGCAGCTACTTACAGCACTGTGCCCCATCCTTTGCCTACTCAGCTACAAAATATCAGTGCCTTTATTAGTGGTTAAGGGAGATAGCTCTACAAAATAATCAAATATAAGGTAAAAATGATGTTGTTGTCAGAGCTCTTTAAAAACGTGAAAGCTCTTTGCGCTTCTATCTGAGGTCAAATTTAGGCTGAACTGAAAGCAGGGGTTACTTCCAAAATTTCACACTCACCTGAACTACTTTATATAAAAATGAAAACACCAGTGATACACAAGCATTCTTCTTAGATGTTGCAACAACTGATAAAGGATGTTCAGGAAAAGTGATTAAAAAAAAGTGCATTTCAAAGAGCCTTTAGGCAACTAGAGTTGGCCAGAAAAACTAAGAGTTAATTATTTAACAGCACCTCTGATCTAAGGAGATAGGAAGATAAACCTTCAGGAAATAATTCATTAGAGTAAAATTAATAGAAGAGCTTATTAGAGTAAAATTAATATAAACACCTTATACTGCTGGCACACAATTCATTATGTAAAGCATTAATCAACTTTATTTAATATAACCTACTTTATTTAACCAACTTTATTTGATAACCAATTTTTTTTTTCATCTTATCTGACTTCAGCCATTCTCCAACTAGCACTTTGTCAATAAAGAAAATCAGAGCAGCCCTTGGCCTTTCAGCAGCTCGAAGGATACGATACAGGTTGTTGTGTTTAATCCACATGAAGCGAACTCCTCCGTGTGCTAGGATTGGGGAAAGCGTCCCCTCCTCCTCCTTTTCCATAAGGATTGGCATAAAATGCTCCACCTCTGACATGTCCACATCTCCGCGGTAATTCCGACAGATCAGAACCTACGGAGAGAGTACCCAAACCCTTAGGGTTTATCCCTCTTTTAAAAGGGTCTTACCACGCGAGAAAAACACACAAGGCCTCTCCAAAGCCACTCTGCTTCCCCCGAGTCTCTCCGCACTTACAGACGCAAATCACGCCGCCAAAATGCTTTGCTGATTAAGGACGCAAAGGCCAATATTTCACTGGCACCTCGGGGACACCCGGGGGTGGCAGCGCGGGCCGCGCGGTGCCCTCAGGGCGGAGGGTCCCGGGGGCACCGCTCCCTCCCCACCACCCCCCTGCCCGGCAGAGCCCCCGCGGCCCGGCCTCACCTTCCCCTTGAGGTCCAGGACATAGACGGCGCTGGCCGACATCTCCCCCGGGCCGCGTCCCGCCCGCTCCGCTCCCTTTCCCTTCCCTTTCCTTCCCCTCCCGTTCCGCTTCCCCCGGCGGTTCCGAGGGAAGTGACGGCACCGCACGGACCGGCCGCGCCTCCGCGCAGGGATACGCGCGGGGCACCGCGCCCGCGGAAGGACACCGCGATCAGACACATCGTGTTAAATAGTCCCAGGGTGTTTTCCTTATTTTATTTTTTTTTTTCCTTATTATTTTTTCCTTATTTTCCTGGCACAGCGCGGTGAGGTGTTTTACCCCGTAGCGCTTGCACAGCGCCCGGAGAGGAACGAGGGTCTGTCCAGGCTGAGGTGGGACCCACACTGAGCTCCCCTGGCTCAGCCAGAGGGACCAAATTCGGGTCAGAAACAATACTCCCATTAGTCCAATATTCCGATTATTCCAATATTCTGATTATCCCAATACTCCAACTGAAGAGGAGCGACAGGATCTGTAATGTGGAGGTACATGTCACCCCTCACAGGGGGAGAACTGTAAAGGCAGTTCCCTTCCAGAACTTCACGTAAAAAATTTGCCCTGGTTTTATATGTAAATCAGCACCAAAAAAAAAAAAAAAAAAAAAAAAAAAAAAAAAAAAAAAAAAAAAAAAAAAAGGGATGAAACCAGCGCTTTAATAAGTTATATCAAAGTTACAAGATGCAGAAGCCCCTCACCCCTGAAAGAACTCTGGATGGAAATACTGTTGTCCACAAAATCATATTTGTTACCCTCGTGTGCAACACTCAAGAGACACACTGGTTATATATTCCAAAGCTGCCAAGCTTGGGTGCTCGGTGTATTCCACAAATCCAGCACCCCAACTACCAAAACTTGGACATCACTGAGAATTCACTGGCTGCTCTCCCTTCCCTGGATGAAATCTCCCTCTTCTTGATTAGGTTTAAAAATATACAAAGATCAAACATGAAAGAACATACTTCCTTAAGAAAATTTTACATATTCCGCATTTTGCAACATCACCTCTGAAAGAACTTGATAGAAAGGAATTTTACGATTCCCATAACTTACAAGAGAAATTTAAATGTGAGACTGTCAGGCTCTTCACTTCCAAAAAGGAGAAACAATAAAGGAACATTTTCCAGCTGGCTAGCAGCAATTAATTTTGGCCTTAGTCTCGTTTTAAACACTAAAAAACCCAGCCCTCTGCACCCACATTGAACCAGAGCTCCTCAGCCAAGAGATGCCTTTGCTGGACGTTTGGCTTTAAAAGCCAAAGCTGTAAAATAAGACAGTACAGAGTCATAAAACGCTCAGAAGATATATTAGACAATATGGAGAACACACACATTTACATGGCAACCCTTGCTCGATACAAACAAAACACAACTCCTGCTCCAGAGCCCGTGACAAGCAGCCCAGTCACTTAGTCCAGCTGACTTTGGGAATGTCGTAATGCTCAGTCAGAGTATCCAAGTGCCTGTTGAAGTCCTAGGGGAGGGAAAAAAGAGAAAGAAAACGTTTAACATTTGGTGCTTGACATCACCGAGTCGAACCGCAAGACCCCCCTGCCCGTGTGTCACAAGGTGAAAGAGTTCCTCCAGCCCAACAATAATGAGCACGCTCTGCTGAGGGTCTCGGGGCGATTTCGCTCACCTCCACTCTCTGCTTGTGGGTTTTCGAGGCTTTTTTCAGGATCCGCTCCATTTGCTGTGGGAGACACAGAGGGGCCGGTTACTCCGAGCACTCGCGGCCCCTCAGCGGCCGCACCCGAGGGGTGGATGGGGGTGGTTTTTTAAAGCCTTACCCGCTTCTCCTGCATCTTCTCGTAGGCCACCTGCGCCGGGGTCCGCTTGTCCAGCCCGCGCTTCTTCTCCTCCTCCTGCTTCTTGCTGCTCACGATCTGCTCCAGGATCTGGGCCTTGTCCTTCGCCTTCTTCTTCTTCCTGCGGGCACAGTCCGCTCAGCGCCCGGTCCCGGGGGTGGGTGTCCCCCCGATCCCCCCCTCACCGCCCCCGGTTCCCCCCATGTCTCCCCGGGTCTCCCCCGGTCCCCCCTCACCGTTTGCCGGCCCCCAGGGCCCCCCCGCTGCCCTTCAGCCGCAGCGGCCCGCGCTGCACCGCCTCGTAATCCGCCATGGCGGAACGGCCGCGCCCGCGCCCTCTGCCGGCACCGCCGCAACGGCGCGGCCGGGGAGAGGGGAGCGGGGAACGGGGAACCAGCGCTCCCTCCGTGAGGGGAACGAGCCCCGAGCGCTCCCTCCGTGAGGGGAACTGTGCTGGAGCGGGAACCCGTGCTGGAGCGGGTCCAGAGAAGAGCAACGAGGCTGGTGAAGGGACTTGAGCACAAGTCCTATGAGGAGAGGCTGAGGGAGCTGGGGTTGTTTAGTCTGGAGAAGAGAAGGCTTAGAGGTGACCTCATCACTCTCTTCAACTACCTGAAGGGAGGTTATAGCCAGGTGGGGGTTGGGCTCTTCTCCCAGGCAACCAACAATAGGACAAGAGGACATGGGCTCAAGCTCTGCCAGGGGAGGTTTAGGTTAGATGTTAG